AATAAGCCGTATAATAACAACACGCTATTGTTGCAATTCCTTCTGCGATGGAACTGCAACAGGTGAAACATGCAACGCTTCCTTCAGAAGCGAAAGGAAGAGAAAATAACTTTTAGATGTTTTTTAATAACAAGACATCAATGAGACATTGTTTGAAATTACTTGGAATCTAAGTCCACAGAACCTGATAATTTTGAATAATTTTGTGTTCGGGTTTGACTTTTATCTCAGAGGTATTTCCGTGTAATTGCGCGGTGACAGCTTTAGTGATGCAATTGGAGACCAGTTATGCTTTGCGGGAACAATGTGTCTCCGATTCCAAATGCGTGAAATCTAAAAACTTATTCTTGGAGCTAGGAAAATATAGTAGAATCTGAGGAAGAATTTGAGGGATCATATGGTTCCCAATACGAGACTTTTTTTTGGGGGGGGGGTGAGGGGGGGATCAGCCGTTGCTGACAGAGTGCGACAGGGACGACTGAAGAATAAGGGGTCTATTGTTTATGTAGTCTAAAGAACGCGGGAAATTGACCGTCGCCGTTCCTGAGATGGCTTTCTTTTTAGGATAAATCGTTTCTCAGAAAGAAAATTTGAAGGGCAAGAAAAAAGTAAGATAGAATTGACACGTATTGTACATTCTAAATTGTACATTTTATTGCGGAAAAAAGAGGAATACGGAATTTATAGGATATTTTCTCGTGTTATTACACGTTTGCGGAAGAGGCGTCACCTTTAGTAAAAAACTTTCAGTTTCAATATCGAATTAAAAATCTCCTTCCAAATAATTGTGACTGCAATGAATGGTCCTTATTTTCCGATCACTCGAAAACCCAAAATAATGTTTTCTAAGTGACTCAAAGAATGAGTCAAAAACCATTCATTAGAAATGCATATTTAAAAAAAAGTAACAATTTCCTGAATATTCCAATATTTTGACATTCTAATAGGCATGTCCGTTATGGAGTTTTAAAGGCTTTAATGAAACAAATTTGTCGATTTATTTTGGTTATTCGTTACCATACATCGATCAATTTTGGCCTCTCAGCGTTCACGATCGAGTAACTTTAAATTTTTAAAACGAAGACAATGTAAGAAAAGAATTTAAGATCACAACCAGCTGCCGTTCGAATGAGACTGAGAGAAATTAAGGAGGATGGAATAATGAATAAATATTGAAATGGCTTTCTAAGGGTCTGATGGTTTAGTTAAATAACATTTTGCACCTGTCGTGGTTCCTTTTATAAATTCTGATCACATGCGATAAGAAGAGAAAATAACTGAGAAATGTTTCCAAATAACGAAACGAAACGTTAAACATATTTTTCAAATTTCTTGACATCTACGTCCATAGATCAATTTTTAGTTGTCAGTTAAATTTATTTCAAGACTGCTTTTCGTGTGGCGTGACCATTTTGCGAGATTTTTTTTTTTTTTTGCGGATGAAGATAATTTGTGCTTTTCAGGCAAAAAATTAAGTGTCTCTACATGACTGACAGTTCCATCAGTGAAACATCAGCCTGAGGGCGGATTTTGTACTGAAAGGAAAAAGAGAATTTGAATTTGTGTCATTTTCTTTTTCCATCTTCTCTATAGTTTTATAAAGCTGGTAGTCGATTAGTCGATATGTTTCGAGTGAGTCCGAAAACAAAGAATGTGCTCTGGAAACTTGTAATTGATTCCCTTTTGTTGCTTTTAATTTGGCTAACAGACTCTAGCCTGGATGATATAAAGAAATACAAGATTTAACTGTTTCTTGGCAAGGTGGTTGCTGTGAAGAAGAATTATCCTGTATTGCTCGCAGTTCCAAAAATACCGTAGCGAAAGGAGGAAGACCGTTTTGAGAGCTGCACAATGATTGCGACGACAAACTCAACAGAGGGTGGAACACAGACGGACACATATCAAGTATCGCCGTGTTCCTCCTCCTTGTTAGTTGGGTTACAACCACAACTGATTTCTTTCTCAGCAGTTAACATTCTCCTCTCCATCACAGCTTTTCTTGGGAATTTTCTAATCCTTGTTGCCCTTAACAAAGAAACTTCCCTTTATCCACCGTCCAGACTCTTGTATCGTTGTCTGGCAACAACTGATCTGTTGGTTGGTATTGTTACCCAGCCTCTTTATGCAACGTATTGGCTGTCCTTGGTTCACGAACACTGGAGTCTTTGTCCATACGCAAGGGACGCAGTCAACATATCAAGCTTTGCATTATGTTCAGTGTCTTTGTTAACGCTGACGGCCATAAGCGTGGACAGACTTCTCGCTCTGTTGTTGGGAATACGATACAGACCAATAGTAACTTTAAAGCGTACGCGCATCCTTACAGCTACGTTTTGGGTTATATCCGTCGCTGCTGGATCATTTTCCGTAACACATACTCGAATAAGCATTTGGTACGCTATTATACTTATACTGTCATGCACAGTGATTTCAATGGCCTCATACACAAAGATATTTTGCACTCTTAAACATCATCAGATTCAAGTACAAGATCATGCTCAACAACAGCCGAGCCAAACAACTGCACCAAACATGGAAAGATACAGGAAGGTAGTGAGCGGTGCACTTTTGGTGCAGTTAGCATTGCTTGTTTGTTATGCACCAAAATTTATAATTCTGGTTGTGAAGATTTATAGAAAAAAAACTTATTCTTCACATGTACTCGTTATTAATGGAATTACAAGTATTTTAACATATTTTAACTCCACTTTGAACCCGTTTCTTTACTGCTGGAAAATCAGAGAAGTGAGACAAGCAGTAAAGCAAACAATCCGACAAGCACTTTGCTTTCCATGGACTTAGATAGATTTTCTCGGAGTCGTCAGACTTGTATTAATCAGGCGTAATCTGAAGGGAAAGAGAAAAGAAGATGGAATGAAACAAACAGGATTTTTCAGTATCTATTGTTGTCTAGATACTTTAGACAGAAAGGAGAGAAGGAGGGAAATTTGTAATTTGATTTCCTTTTTTGTTTTGTTTTATGTGGAAAGTTTTTGTTAAAGTTGACGGCCATAAGCGTAGACAGACTTCTCGCTCTGTTGTTCGGAATAAGATACAGATAGATAGATAGGCTTAAAGAATACTACATATGTATATTAAAATTCACATTACACATGATAAAGCCATTAGGAAATAACCGCGTTGTACATGATAAAACTATTCTTCAGTCTATTTGTTCTGTAAAAAGGTACGTTAAAAGCGCGCTTTCTCCTTAAGGCTACGGTACTTAGATTTCATGACGGCAAAAAGCCATGTAATTTGTGGCAGGTGATGTCTTTGATCTCACTGAATAGGCGCTCCGTCAGCAATTGGCGCCGTTGGTAGAGGGTGGCAATATTACACTCTTTAAGAGCTTCTTGGTAGCTTAAGACTGGGAAAATTATTCTAAGTGCACGGCGCTGAATATTCTCTAGCTCTTCAGAGAGATACTTAGGTAGACCATTGTGGAAAACTTGGCAAACATATTCAGACACGGGCCGGATACACGTAGTATAGAAACAAACTAGCTGCGCGGGATCTCCTTTTGCACGCTTAAGTTGCCTTAACTGATAAAGCCTAACTCGTGAATTGCGCGCAGACGCAAGAGCGAGTTGTAGATATGATGTGGAGAATGGCACTCGCTCGCTCGATCGATTGGTCAATTCCTGTAAACTTTTTTTCGATTTTGGGCTTTTGAGTGCATTTAATAGTTTTTGGTGAGTAATAAACAAACGAAATGGCGACCTTTGTTGCCAAGAATAGTGGTGGGGTGAAAAAGAAGCCAATGATAATCTTAAAAGAGTTTATTTTTTTTTGTTTTAGTTTTAACAAGCGGCGCCAGCAACTGGCAGGCGTGCAAGGATTCACACTGAAATAAGAGACCAATCTTCGTTTTTCATAAAATTGTAATTTACAATCCTTGAACTTGAAGAAGATTCAATAAAAATATCACTTACGCCGAAGCGCTCGAAGTTCACAGGTGTTCAAAAGCTTTTTCTGCTATCGGGTGAGATTGGGGACAAAATCGATCATAACATTTCGTATCGTGTGTTTTTCCTGTGTGAAGCAACAAAGGGTGCCGGTGATTAACGAAATTACAGGTTAACACAAAAATCAAATAAAACCTAGACAAATAATTTTGGCTACCGATTTTCAGTGAATTTTTAAAGAACAATTTTTTTAAGTTTCAAGACAATTTGAAGATTCAAAATAAATATTACGTACTAAAATGCGAAAGTTATACACCACAAAATTGATAAATAGGCCTGAAATGAAATTCTATCTTGTTCTTGATTATACGTTGCCTAGCACGTGACCAAAATCTACCCAGGCGGAAATCCAAAGAGGCGGTGGCAGTCTGGGCTTAGTTATGTCACTCAAAAGTCGTTCCCGTTAGTCTCATTTGATAAAGAGGGAAACATTTATGTTTTCATTAAGACAGTATTACCTTGATTTTCCAATATTTACATGATAGACAGTAAATTTCCATTTTCACCCACATTTACTTCCAACCTCTTCAGTTGAACCAGAAACAAAAATGATATTGTTTAAAACACTACATCATCCACCCTTGTCAAATGTAATAGCATGATCATTTCAATTGTAATGCCTTCTTATCCCAACGTTATTTTGTTTCTTTGCTACATTAGCGAACACTGAACTACTGCTCGTACTCTAAATATGACAATAAACCACAAAATTCCCTAAACCAGATAACATTAAATATAATCCAAAAATCATGTAAGTCATCTGTCAATTCACGAGTCTGCTCACAGAGCACTTTGATTTGATAACCTTCTCTATTCTCGAGGTACATCTAGATACACGTAATATGAGAAATATCACGATCATGATCGTATCATGATCGTGATCGTCATCTTATCGTTATCGAAATCGTGCTCATGTTAGTTATCGTAACGTAACGTATCGTGATCGTGATCAAAATCATGTTCGTGATCGTATCGCCAATAAAATCGTGATTTTTGCGTGATCGTGATCGTGATCGTAAAACAATTGTGACCATGATCGTGATTATCACTATCATTGCAGAGGTATTGGTATAACAGATAAGTTGGCCTTTCAATTTCTGTTAGTACCGAATGAAAACCTGCGCAAGCTGTTCCCGTACGGTTACCTCGGAGCTGTAAACATTGCTCTGAGGTCCTACAGGCAAACAAGTTGGAAAGATACAGATTTTATAGGAAATATTAAGGTAAAGCTTGTCGCATACCGGTATTTTTCTCCAAAAAAGGGACTCCAACTAAGCTTTTTGAAAGGCTAGTTACTTCACTGCACCTTACCTCCAGGAACGCGGACTTAGAACCCTCCGTTATTTTCCTTACAGAGATGATGGTAAATTCATCTTCGATACGATCCAAAAAGCGGTACGAGACTGTGTCAATCAGTAAGTTGTGTGTGCATACCCGTTAATATCACCTGATCAGTGGTTATTTTTGAGCCACTGTCATGGTATATTCAAGCTATACAAGCATTGATAGGCTATTTAGTTGGTTTCTTCGTTCATCTCCACTCCAGGTATTATGAATGTGACGAGGACGTACAAAGCGACTATGAGCTGCAAAATTTCATGAATGAGGTATCTGCAGATGGCGTAGGGATTGATGGAGGCAATGGAAATGTAAGAAAAGCAAAATTTTTGCCTTTTGAAGCATTCTATAAAATTGGCTGGCCCATGACTTTTCTCGCACGGGAAATCACTTGCACGACTCGGATCAAAGATCCCATCGTAATGAGAAAGGGGTTGATCTCAGATGTGTTTCTAGCGAATACAAATAGTCCACGGTGAGGCAACATTCTGCAGATGAATCAGACTAACGTATTGCTCTTTTAGGTAAAGGATCTTCCCAATGAGTTGACGTCAGTTGACAGTCTTGTGATTTTCCTGACAAGACTTCTGTGGCAATTAAGCGCGCAACACGCAGCCTTGAATTATCCCGTGGCAGACTATGGAGGGTTTACACTCAACATGCCCACGAAGCTGTATCAAGATTCACGAGTCTCCGATGACGTGTTCTCCTTGTTCAATTTTCCTAATGCTAACATTTCTGCGGTGAGCATTCGTTCCTCGTTATACCGCCACATAGTTTTAATTTCCACAGAGAGATTATAAACGGTTAATTAACAGTTTATATTATGGCCTGCAGTGCAATTTCTGTGCGTGCCTCAGGTCACAACTTGATTTCAGGGTTTAAGAATGTCACCCGTTTAGTTTAGTCGTTTTAGCGTGTGATTTCCCCTGTGAAAGTTCGGGAGTGTCAGCTCCATTATAGAACCAACTGAATGGTCTTGAAATAACCGAAATGAATCCTTGCTTTTTTGAAGACATGTGCAAATGATCTGACGAGGTAATATTCTAATGGAAGGACGCCATACCCAGCATACAAACTAAGTCCTGCCTCCTGTATTTATTAAAGTCGAGTGGTTAGAACTGATCGTTAACGAACCTAGGCACAACGAGCACGGGGTAAGCGAGGGAGAGTACACAGGAGCAGGGTACACGGAGAACGGGGCACGGAGCACGGAACACGAAGCCCGGACCACGGACCACGGAGTACGGAGCAGGATAACGAGAGCATGGGGCACAGGGCTCAGGTCTCTCCGTGTTTATAGCGCCCCTGTGTTTTTTCTGTGTCTCAGCAGGTCTAAATAAAAACAAACTCGCTAATTTCTGTTGGTTTTTTTCTTCTGAGCCGCTACACGCTGAATGATAACGAAGGCGCAAACAGGACAACACTTTAGTTTTAGAAGGGGAGTGGAAAGGATGCCGCTTATTTCCAGTCAGCGATTGATATGAGCGCGCAAGAACAGCCTGAGGGTTCTAGCGCCAGACCCCTTACAGACCTTGCGCTCGTTTGCATCTCGCAGGCTTGGCCACTCGTGCGGCAGCGTTGACCCTTTAACTCCCAAGATTTCATTGGTAATTCTCCTTACTGTCTGCCAAAAGATTCTCATTATGTTAGTTTGGAGAATTTGGTATCGGATCAATCAGTAATCCCGAGGGTTTTGGAATTATCATTCGTCTTGTGGTTTGCGGCAGCAATATGTGATAACTGCGTACATATAAGAGAGGTACGTGTTATTGTTATTGTCCGAGAACTCGATACTTTTTTAGCGACAAATTAGCTTTTTCCCTGAGCACAACTAAACCGTTACTTTCGAAGAGGTATATTGACGACGTTTTCCGTCTGTGGAACAGAAGCAAAACGTTTGTACAACGGGCGAACAGCTTTAATCTGTTCATTGTATCACGATACAATCACTATTCACGGCTGAAATATCAGACTCAGAATTTATATTCTTGAACACAAACGTGTTACGCATTACAAAGAGACGGAGATGTTCGAATTCTTGAGTTTTCATCCGTGTCAGGCAAAAGGAAAAGGATTCGTGAGAGGAGAAGCACAATGCCTCCTATGAATAAATTCATCGCACTCCCAGCTTAATAAAACATAGAGCGTTTCAAAATACGCTTAAAGAACAGAGAATACCACGGCCTCTGCGAACTCGCTGCTCTTTTTCTTTCCAAATTCTAAAGCTATCTAGCTTCTGCTCATTCCATGTTTCTAAAATTGATCTAATAAGCCGTATAATAACAACACGCTATTGTTGCAGTTCCTTCTGCGATGGAACTGCAACAGGTGAAACATGCAACGCTTCCTTCAGAAGCGAAAGGAAGAGAAAATAACTTTTAGATGTTTTTTAATAACAAGACATCAATGAGACATTGTTTGAAATTACTTGGAATCTAAGTCCACAGAACCTGATAATTTTGAATAATTTTGTGTTCGGGTTTGACTTTTATCTCAGAGGTATTTCCGTGTAATTGCGCGGTGACAGCTTTAGTGATGCAATTGGAGACCAGTTATGCTTTGCGGGAACAACGTGTCTCCGATTCCAAATGCGTGAAATCTAAAAATTTATTCTTGGAGCTAGGAAAATATAGTAGAATCTGAGGAAGAATTTGAGGGATCATATGGTTCCCAATACGAGACTTTTGGGGGGGGGGGGGGGGTGTGAGGGGGGGATCAGCCGGCGCTGACAGAGTGCGACAGGGACGACTGAAGAATAAGGGGTCTATTGTTTATGTAGTCTAAAGAACGCGGGAAATTGACCGTCGCCGTTCCTGAGATGGCTTTCTTTTTAGGATAAATCGTTTCTCAGAAAGAAAATTTGAAGGGCAAGAAAAAAGTAAGATAGAATTGACACGTATTGTACATTCTAAATTGTACATTTTATTGCGGAAAAAAGAGGAATACGGAATTTATAGGATATTTTCTCGTGTTATTACACGTTTGCGGAAGAGGCGTCACCTTTGGTAAAAAACTTTCAGTTTCAATATCGAATTAAAAATCTCCTTCCAAATAATTGTGACTGCAATGAATGGTCCTTATTTTCCGATCACTCGAAAACCCAAAATAATGTTTTCTAAGTGACTCAAAGAATGAGTCAAAAACCATTCATTAGAAATGCATATTTAAAAAAAAGTAACAATTTCTGAATATTCCAATATTTTGACATTCTAATAGGCATGTCCGTTATGGAGTTTTAAAGGCTTTAATGAAACAAATTTGTCGATTTATTTTGGTTATTCGTTACCATACATCGATCAATTTTGGCCTCTCAGCGTTCACGATCGAGTAACTTTAAATTTTTAAAACGAAGACAATGTAAGAAAAGAATTTAAGATCACAACCAGCTGCCGTTCGAATGAGACTGAGAGAAATTAAGGAGGATGGAATAATGAATAAATATTGAAATGGCTTTCTAAGGGTCTGATGGTTTAGTTAAATAACATTTTGCACCTGTCGTGGTTCCTTTTATAAATTCTGATCACATGCGATAAGAAGAGAAAATAACTGAGAAATGTTTCCAAATAACGAAACGAAACGTTAAACATATTTTTCAAATTTCTTGACATCTACGTCCATAGATCAATTTTTAGTTGTCAGTTAAATTTATTTCAAGACTGCTTTTCGTGTGGCGTGACCATTTTGCGAGATTTTTTTTTTTTTTGCGGATGAAGATAATTTGTGCTTTTCAGGCAAAAAATTAAGTGTCTCTACATGACTGACAGTTCCATCAGTGAAACATCAGCCTGAGGGCGGATTTTGTGCTGAAAGGAAAAAGAGAATTTGAATTTGTGTTATTTTCTTTTTGCATCTTCTCTATAGTTTTATAAAGCTGGTAGTCGATTAGTCGATATGTTTCGAGTGAGTCCGAAAACAAAGAATGTGCTCTGGAAAATTGTAATTGATTCCCTTTTGTTGCTTTTAATTTGGCTAACAGACTTTCGCAATGTTTTATTGAACACGATTTTTCAGCGGGAACGAATTTTGCGGATCGACAGATATCCTCAAAATCAATTTAGGTATACCGTTCCGGGATAATTTTTACTTATTTATCTACAGAGAGGTTTTTTAAAATATATATTAAACTAATGGTTGTCTTTAACCTTAAACTTTTTATCAGCTCTTATTTAAAATGCGTTCTTGAAATTTACAGAACAGATGGACACCATATGGGGTTGAGGGGTTGATTGATGCAAGGCATACCCTCCAAATTTCAAGAAGGGTGTATTATGAAATTATCTCAACTGACACTGAGGTCGTTCAACCCATTTAAAACAAGTAGGATGTATTGAGGAAGTTTTTAGCCTGGATGATATAAAGGAATATAAGATTTAACTGTTTCTTGGCAAGGTGGTTGCTGTGAAGAAGAATTATCCTGTATTGCTAGCAGGAGGAGGAAAACCGTTTTGAGAGCTGCACAATGATTGCGACGACAAACTCAACAGAGGGTGGAACACAGACGGACACATATCAAGTATCGCCGTGTTCCCCCTCCTTTTTAGTTGGGTTACAACCACAACTGATTTCTTTCTCAGCAGCTAACATTCTCCTCTCCATCACAGCATTTCTTGGGAATTTTCTAATCCTTGTTGCCCTTAACAAGGAAACTTCCCTTCATCCACCGTCCAAACTCTTGTATCGTTGTCTGGCAACAACTGATCTGTTGGTTGGTATTGTTACCCAGCCTCTTTATGCAACGTATTGGCTGCCCTTGGTTCACGAACACTGGAGTCTTTGTCCATACGCAAGGGACGCAGTCAACATATCAAGCTTTGCATTATGTTCAGTGTCTTTGTTAACGCTGACGGCCATAAGCGTGGACAGACTTCTCGCTCTGTTGTTGGGAATACGATACAGAACAGTAGTAACTTTAAAGCGCACACGCATACTGACAGCTACGTTTTGGATTATATCCGTCGCCTCTGGATCATTTTACGTTATACATACTCGAATAAGCGTTTTGTATGCTATTATACTTATACTGTCATGCTCAGTGATCTCAATCGCCTCGTACACAAAGATTTTTCGCACTCTTAGTCATCATCAGGCTGAAGTACAAGATCAAACAACTGCACTAAACACGGAAAGATACAGAAAGGTAGTGAGCAGTGCACTGTGGGTGCAGTTAACATTAGTTGTTTGTTATGCACCAAAACTTATAATTCTGGTTGTGAAGATTTATAGAAAAAAAACTTATTCTTCACATGTACTCGTTATTAATGGAATTACAAGTATTTTAACATATTTTAACTCCACTTTGAACCCGTTTCTTTACTGCTGGAAAATCAAAGAAGTAAGACAAGCAGTAAAGCAAACAGTCCGACAAGCACTCTGCTTTCCATGGACTTAGATATATTTTCTCGGAGTCATCAGACTTGTATCAATCTGGTGTAATCTGAAGGGAAAGAGAAAAAAGATAGAATGAAACAGGGGGGAATTTTTCAGAATTTATTGCTTTAGTGTTTACCTATTTATGCTGATAAATATCAGATAAAAACACAGTCATTGTTAAGTATTCTAACCCTGTCGGCAAAAACAACAATTGAAAGGTAGAATTAATATCGCCCAAACGCCGAGAGATACTATCTGTTTGACTTTCCTCCGACATTCTGTATTCTTGTTGCTTGTTTTCTTGTAAAATCAGTCGTCGCTGACAGAGCCCAACGGGAAGTTTAAAAAACGCGGGAAATTGGCCGTCGCGGTTTCCAAGATGGCTTTCTTTTTGAGGATAGATCGTTTGCCCGAAGGGCAAAAACAATAAGATAGAATTAACACATATCGAACATTCTAAAATAGATTTTAAGATCACAACTAGCTGCCGCTCAAATGAGACTGAGTAAAATTAAGGAGGATGGAATAATGAATAAACATTGAAATGGTTTTCTAAGGTTGTGATGGTTTAGTCAAGTAACATATTGCACCTGTCATGGTTCCTTTTATAATTTCTGATCAGATGCGACACGAGGAGAAATACCTGGGCGATGTTTCCAAATGGTAAAACAAAACGTTAAACATTTTCTTAAAAGTATTTGACATCTCGAGCCATTATATGTTATTCTTCGCGTGGCATGAACATTTTGCGGGAGTTTTATCTATGTCCGTCTCTACATGACTGACATTCCGTATAGAAAATGATTCATTCGATTCTCGGTTTCATCGGTGAAACATCAGCCTGAGGGCGGATGTTCTACTGCAAGGACAGAAAGGAAGAAAGGAAGGAATAAATAATTTGGTTTCCTTTTTCGTTTTGTTTTATGTGGAAAGTTTTTGTTGACGTTGACGGCCATAAGCGTGGACAGACTTCTCGCTCTGTTGTTGGGAATAAGATACAGACAAATAGTAACTTTAGAGCGCACATGCATCATTACAGCTACGTTTTGGATTTTATCCGTCGCCGCTAAATCATTTTCCATTTCACATACTCGAATAACCATTTGGTGTAGTATTATACTTAAACCGTCATGCTCAGTGATCTCAATCGCCTCGTACAGAAATATATTTTGCAGTCTTAGACAACATCAGGCTCAAGTACAAAATCATGTTCAACAACAGCCGAGCCTAACAACTGTACTGAACATGGCAAGATACGGGAAGGTAGTGAGCCGTGCACTGTGGGTGCAGTTAGCATTAGTTGTTTGTTATGCACCAAAATTTACAATGCTGGTTTTGATCACTTATAGAAAAACCTATTCTTCACGGGTAGTCTATATTGATAGATTTAAAAGTATTTTTAGGTATTTTAACTCCACTTTGAACCCGTCTCTTTACTGCTGGAAAGTCAGAGAAGTGAGACAAGCAGTAAAGCAGACAAACCGACAAGCACTTTGCTTTCCATGGACCTCGATATATTTTCTCGGAGACTTGTATTAATGGGGCGTAATTTGAAGGGAAAGGGAAAAGAAGACAGAATCAAACACGCCTTTTTTTAGCAGCTTTTGTGTTCTAGATGCTTTAGTGTTTGCCTGATCATGCTGATAAATATCAGATAAAACAGAGTACCATGGTTCAGTATTGTAACCCCGCCGGCGAAAAGGAAAATTGAAAGGCAGAATTAATATTACCCAGATGCCGAGAGGTGTTATCTTTTCGATTTTCCTCAGATGTACTGTATCGCAGGGCCTCTGCGAACTCGTTACTCATTTTCTTGCCAAATCCTAAGGCTGTCTTCTTAAAAATTGATCTAGTGAGCCATTTAATAACAACGTGCTATTATGGACTAAACTGCTCCGAGGGATCGTGGCGGGAAAAGGTTATGAATCACGCTCCACGGATATCACCAAAAACTGCATGGTAATTTATGTAAGAATGTTAACAGCCAAGAAGCTCGGCTTAGGAGACCACTGAAGGATCGGAGCGTTTGACGATTCTAAACCAAGATGGCCATCAGATTTCCTGTTTTCTTTGTCAAACCGAGCTCATTACCTGAGACAAAAACAAATGTTTTGGCGCCTGTTCTCAAACATCCCTACTGAAAACTGTTAAGAACTTATTATAAACCGACATAAATAAATTGATCTCCCAATGAAAGAGCCTTTCAAATAGGTAGTAAAATTATGGATCTAAAAAAATTCAGCGTTTTAGTATCGCTTGCATCTCAAAAAAATTTTGCCTGAATTCTTCAAACTAGCTATTACCCGTACTCCCTGACCAATCAGCGTCCTTCACTGGGATCGTCTCTCATTGGTTAACTCTTCCCAAACTAAAACTAAATTCTACAAATTTTCTTCACTGTAAAAGCAACTCTGTAAGTCAATGGAGAGGAGGTCAGTTTGGACTCTTTTGGTGACCTTGCCGCCTCAATTTACTTTCAAAGACTTTTTTTTTTAAATGAAAAAATTCGTCTAAATTGGAATTACATTTATTAGTGATAATTTTGGCGTATTTGAAGTATTGATTAGATTTTCCCAATCAAACTCCTGATTTCAAAGGTTTTCCTGAGCTCGCCCCTCTTCAAACCAACATTCTCTATGAGACAAGAACAAAACATTATTCAAACGGAACACAAGAGTTAATGGAATGTGTATCCTGTGCTTCCAATTTAGTGGGTTGATAGAAAAAAAAACCCTTTTTAACACTGTTCCCATAACAAAATTCAGTACAATTTGTGACGACTTAAAAAGCACTTTCTTGTGCTGTAACACTTGTCACTTTGTAGAGAAGGTTATCAAACGTTTTATTAATGAAAAAGAGGCGTAAACCTGAGATTATTGAAAAAAGGCCTTACTCTAGCTTCCTTAGGCCATTTTAAAATTTTTTTGGCCAATTTTCCTCATACAAATCATCACTTTGGAAAAAAGGAGATCATGTGCACCTAAAGACCTCACCCCCCTGGACACGCCCATTATGTAATCTGACTAAGACAACGTACAATGTCAATCAAAATCAAGCGCCATTTTCCCGCGCTTAGTCCTATCCTATCTTTATGTGTTCTTAAAGAAAGATGTTTTTTTATGTGTTCTTATAGGCCTGGAATGAGCGGGCCTCGTTTTCAGTTTCACTGGGCCTCGATTGGGAGTAGAATCTTTGATCAAGTAATGATTAAGGCTCATCGTCACCACGACACAAAGTGAGATCTAACACTTCTAAGTCCTTCAAAGCCCAACGGAAAACAAAGAGATTTTTCCAGGTACCGGTATTAATTTGAATTAAAAAATCAGTAAGGTGCTAGTCAAGAAATAATACCACGCGATCTAAATTTATTATGTGCTTACTAAGAACGTTTTGTATAATTATCATCTGATCGAAGGCCAAAGTTCTCCAATAAATTTAGCCATCGGTACTTAGAGCAATTATCGGTGAAATTAGAGTTTCTAAACGTGTGTTGTATGAAATCAACCAGCCCTAGGTTCTCTTTGGACCATATCAAATTCTATGATCAGCAAGACGGCTGGCCAGCTCTCATTTTAATTTTTCCGGCTTGTGGTTTTTTCAGTTTCACCTGTCGCTCCCCAAACTGAAAGAAAATGAAAAAGCGTCCCTTATTATTTATTTATCAAACACCCTGGATTCCATGAGAAACATGGCAGACAAAACAACTCTCTTACTTTTTACAAAAGACCAAGAAGAAAACGCTGAAAAGCTACGGACAGTTTTAGAAAGCGAGGGTGAAGTATTTGTACTGGATCTTGCTGATATTGCTATTCGTGGACTCTCGCTTAAAGACGAAATCCGCACAGGTTGTGACTGCACTGTTTTGATTTGCTCTTCTCAAGCGACGCAGCTTATTAACGAGGAAGAATCCTACGTTTTTGTTACAAAAGGCGGACAGGAAGTAAACTTCGATGGGAAAGTGATCAGCAATGTTCTCAAGGAAGACGATGGAAAGTTACGTCGTAAAATAATTCCGGTATCTTTCGTGGAACTTCCTTCGGTTTTACACGGAGCGGGTACAAGGCGTAAGGATCGACAAAGTGCGATTTCATTTGAAATAAACCAAGGAGAGGTCACAGAAGTAATGTTGGAAGGTGATATCTTACAATCATTGATTGATGCTATTAAGACGGTCTATAAATGATTCGAAATACGACGAAATGTTAAGCAAGTGTTTCTTTTTACGGCCCTGTTGTGCATTTATAAATCAGCGGAGGATTTCTGGTGAAGAAAATGAAAGGGTGATCGCGTAAATATTTATAATGTAGAAACGAGTGTATCTTAAAGATAGCGATTGCTGCGCTAAGTTTAGCGGGTAATGTCAACCAGAAGGCTAGTGGAGAGTGGAAAAATAGAGCAGCTTTATTGAGAAGTTTTTAAGCATTTTTCATGAACACAACAATAAGCAGGGATTTTATTAACGCAACAATAAACAGGAACAATAACATTAACAGATGACAGTATGCAGGTTTCACAAGTTTGGCAAACAAAACGAACTTTGAATTACTGTAACTTCGATAATTGTGGAAATATCTCTATAGCAGAAATCAGAGATCCCAACATTTAATATATCAGTAATTTTCATTCTCCATTGTAACTGATATAAATTTAATAAACGGTTTGCTTTCTTTCACCGGAAGTTGTTATTCGAAGTTCTTTTCAATCCGCTGATGACCAGGGAAAAGCGACAGAGAGGAGGCTGAAAACAAGCCTTCCTCGCCCCAGCTCCTTCCTTCGTGTTGGCTACAGCACTCGCATGAAACTGAGCTTAGACATCAACAATAGGCCATTTTACAGTTGTGTACTTAAATGCCAAGCCTTTGATTTGGAGTGAGGCTGAAGGTGACCTTGTTGTGATAAAGACCAGTATCTGGTTAGCTAACAAGGCAATTTACATTTAAAAAGCAGCAAGGTTTGTATCATAACAAGGTCACCCTTAACATCACTCCTGTTAAAAAGGCTTGGCAACCAAACACGTAATATCGTCTTACATGTCACGTACGCTTTTGTCTTCAAATGGATTCTACAGGAAGTATTAGAGAAAGAGAAGAAGAAAAAAGCTTTAGAACCTAACAAACAAAATAGGAAAATTAGGATGCAGATATAAGTAAATAGATATTTGAATAAACAAATGAATGATTAAGAAAAATGAACGGATTCGCAGAGAAATGAGTAAATGCAAAAATAAATCTCACCTTGCGTTTCAAAACGAAAAAAACCGAGGAACTCGGCAACACTTTATGATTAGGAAAGAAACTAAACTATGTGATTAAAGAATTATTTTTGTGAGCAGTACTCAGTCTAGCTTATTTCCCTGATACACAGCTACTCCTACGTGTGCCAATATCCTTCTGCTCCGTCCATTATCGAGGGTCGTAGAATTATCATTCCTCTCGTGGTGTGAAGCAGCAATATGTGATCACTGCGTTTATATATTACTCTGAGGGCAACGCGCTTCTACACATTTAGGCAACATCAGAATATTTACCACACGACAGTGCTCTCCCGAGTCCTTTATCGTGCGTATCAAAGGTCGTATAAACTATAAACTACCATATATTTATCCTTTAATGAAAGAAAACTATTTCCTACAGGAAAGCGGCGAAATTGCTCCGACATACCCCTCTCCCGATAAAAAGGGGCTCGGGTGACGCCCTTCCGACATCCGGGTGGGGGAGCAGAGATCTTTTTCAAGCGTGTTAGATAGGTGCCGATAATCTGATTAAAATCTTAATTATAACATTTATGACTTTTATTTCTTATTTTGTCGGTAACGTGTTCAGCAATTTCAGAGTTTGGACCGCAGCTTCTTAGAATTCTTCAAGTTCTTCAGGAAATAAAATCGGTGTCACGCCCGACATTCTTCTGATGTTCCGAAAAAGGAATGTGTTGTACATCCGTCTCTTCGGTATTCCGCTTTCAAAAGAAAGAGATTTTATTACTCATTTGAAAAAGTATTGTTTTCCAGTCGGCGCCTGAGGTGCAAAAATAATAATAAAGTCAGTTCTGTCTCGCAATTGGTTGATGCGTTAATTAATGAGGTATTTTCGTGATGAATGGATCAGGCGCGCTTTGTCTGGGAGCACGATTTAATGCCAACAGCTTCGGCGAAGAAAGCATCAGATCGATTGTTCGTTGCTGAAATTCGTAAGAAATGGCTGTAATTTTGGAGACATTGAGGCTTCGACATCTTTTAGCGTTTGCACTTCTCTTGGTGGGAATTCTGGCGACCTTTTTCGCTGTAGGAGGAAAAATCGGTGAGTGTTGTTAAATCAATTTTGATTTACCGTCATAATATGCGAATTATGTAGCGAAGCCTTGTCAAATCCAAGAGAGAATTCTACACTCAGTCAGAATTTTGTGAATCAAGACGCTTCTATCAGTAGTTAGAAATCGAGATTGCGTATACAAAAGAGCAATTAAGAGGAACAGTGAAACACATGTCAAATAATGTATCGAATTGAAAATTCGAGAGTTATTACTGAGAGCGATTCCATCACAAGTGGTCATTCATCAAATATAGACTTGATGCGTGTACACAAACTTACAGTTGATATTTAGTCTAATATCGTGGCAAGAGCACTGAACAAGAGATTCAAAGAAGCGAAGTGAACCTGAACTTTACTGAGGCTCGGAAAGTGATCCTGAAACATTTCTGAAGTGGATTTATCTGCGAATTACATTTATGCATGTAATCGAGCTATGCTTAAAAGTTGTCTTTTAAAATGACCCAATTTGAAATATTGTTGTCATTCAAACATATTCATCGTCAGTTCTTGCGTTCACTTTCCCATGGAAAGTCATGAAGTTTTCCATAAGTCAAAGTTGGAGGTTACCACCTGGGTATTTTAAGAACAGTAAACAACAAAATGAAAGATCAAGTTTATTGCAAAGCATTTTGTTTTTAGCTAATTTGATTATTGTTTTGATAACAATTTAGATATTTAATTGTTTTGTTTTGGTTGTAGCGCTGCAACTTTTGGCTGCATTGGCTCTTTATGATACACACTATAACTTGATGAGCATTCGATGAAAAAAAAAATTTTTAATTTTGTGGTGACTTCAATTATTTATTATTTTTAGTAACCATGTGTGATAACTGAAAATGAAAATTAGGACAACTATTGCATTAGAGCTGCGGCGGATATGTGTTATTTATTGTATATAGTTGTTCATGCATACTATATCAGAATTGTCTGGGTGGTTGTTGAATAATTCAATTCTATTCAATAGCACTTGCAAAATCATTCTTATTTTGACATGTTGATTTGATGTTAATTGATTTGAAGATGCATGTAGACAACATTTTATTGTAACTGTAAATACACACAGCAGACTTGAGTGGAAGTTCTATACAGTCTTACAACTCTGTGGTTTAAGTGCCGTGTAATTTATGATAAATTTGTACATGGGCAGCTATTGAACTGTGACATTAACAGTGTACACATACTTTGTCATTTAGATGGTGGCTGTCAATGATGATGATAATAAATTTATCTGCCAGGGCAAGTTTTGAAAAATTAATGTTAAGAGCAGAATTTATTAATCAGAAAATCAGACCTCCAGACCAGTTGAACTTTATTACCGTAGTAATGAATGTTGATACCCAAGATGTAAGGATTTATTTCCTCTTTCGGATAACTGTACATTTCTATCGCAGTCATAAATCATGTTTTGACCTTTCTGATAAAATATAAGGAAAGAAATGATCCTTTTAGTTGATGCTGTACTTTAAGAAATTGCATACAGAAAAGAAAACCAAAAAAATTCAGGCTTTGACCTGATTCAAAACTGTTCCTCTCAGATACTAGTTTGATGCTTCTTTCAACTGAGCCGTAAAGCCAACTGTTGACTGGAGTGAGGCAAAGATTAAGTGGGCTCTTCATTCTGCAAATTTTTGTGTTGCCAAAATTCTTATCTGAATTTGGTTGTATTCTGTATTATAAAATATATGTAGCTTGATAGAATGGTATACTCTGCGATAGTTGAATCAGGCTCACAAATTTATACGTTAAAATTCCATTATTTATTTCATGAACATTAAGTGTGTGCTTATTCAACGTGCTTGATATACCTGTACTTAACCCTTCCACTTCCAAGATCTTGTTAGTAATCCTCCTTACTGTGTGCTATACAATTTTTATTATTTTAGCTTGGAGAATTTGGTATCAGATCAACTAATCATCTTCTAATTGATATTTTTCTTTATTCTTATCACTTGTCTGCTTGATATTGTATTGATATTGTTATGAGAAAATCTGTTTTGGTCACTAATAAGGGTTGAAAGTTTAAGATATAGTATTTCCTAGTTTTATCCCACTTAACAAAAATTGCATGAAAGTGGTTCAAATACTGTAAATATGTCATGAATGACATGGAAAAATCTCTTTTGCTGTTAAAATCTTTATTTCATATTTTCTGGTTCTTATACAATTTTTGCTGCTTTGAATGGAGGACTCACATCTACACTGTAGTACTGCAAATAAATCTGAAAAAACTACTCCACTAACATCCTGATCCCTACTGTTTTTTACACGTTTTCTATGGTACTTGCAAGGAAAATTTGTTTAGCAATCAAGATTTTTTTGAGTTCGTGATTATTTAATTCATTCTCATGATCTAAATGTTTGAATCAAGGGATCACTCTTGGGATGGAAAAGGTCAAGGGTTATAAAAATAAGCTACTATAATGAATTGTTATTAGCAATTGATTTGAATTTTTTTAATTTACCTCTTTACAGCTCCAGCACCCACAAGTGCTGTTTCTCATATAGCAACTATCTGTATTGGAAAAATTGGAAATTTTGATACATTTTATGATCCAAGACATTGTGACAGGCTCAATAACATTAAAGAAGCTGAGACAGATCCACGAGGCATCACACCGGACCAGATTGTGTTTGCCATTAGATTTCCCTTCCCTGGTCAATCAATGTCTCGCTGGTTCCAGTTTGTAGCAACATCAATCAGATTGGATATTGAATATCGGCCAGAATTTAAATATGATGATCGTCAAGGTACGTTAAAGGGACACCTTTTTGTAAGGTTGTTTTAAAATTTGTGTTCTCAAGAGTGGTGTTTTTACAGCTGTTCCTTAAAAGGAACAAAGTATTTGTTTATGGTGACATTTCATGGACTATGGACTAATTATCATAATTAATAATTAAGATTTAGTGTTCTTCCGAAGAAATGTGGTAGGAATGGAATTGAATTGTGACAAATATTTTTTGAGCCTTCAAGGATATCCACCACTTTTTTGAAATGTGATTTTGTTATATTTGGCTGCTCTGCGATGACTAATATGTACCAATCACCTCTGAGCTAGCCAATCAGCATGTTTAAAATGCATAATATTTACCTGTGTGGAATATAATAATTTTGTTCATGTGTAATTTTGTTACTTTGGCTGCTCGGAGGAGATTATTGCCTGTCAATCAGTTCCGAACTAGCTCCAATCAGAGTGGGCAAAGACAACTTTTCACCCATGTTTCTGCATCTGAATGCAAAATAGAGCTCTGGGCTTAGAAATTAATAGGAGAAACT